CACCGATAATGGAAGAATATTCTGGAATGGTGCTGAGATTTGTTGGCGGGATAGGACTCTTCTTCAGTTTCACAGAGGTGAGTGGGTAGTTGGAAAATTAAGTGCTTTCTTCCCACTTCTAAAGCTTTGTTTTGTGAAACACTGTTTTAGGGGGTTTGTTACAGGAAGCCTCAATCCAATCTCAGGAATCAGATCATGAATAAGGCCCACTTTTTCAAAGCTATGACCTTGCTGACAGACCTATGTCAGAAGGAAAGCTTTGCTTGCAGCTTCGTTATTTAGACAAAAACCTCAGCATTAAAATGTGGTGCTGTAAAGTTTAAGCTTTTCAGAAAGTTAGCTGTTCAAGTGTACCATTCTCCAGCAGTACTAAAAGAGTGCTGTTGCTTTACCTTGTTCCCTCTTCTTCCCGCCTATTCCCCACTCTAGCACACAAGGTCTTTGAGATTTTTTTTGTTTTGTGCCACCTATATTGCAAAGATAGAGTTGCATGAGGAGTCAGCTGTATTTTAAACAGTAGGTTAAAATTAAGAATGTCTGTTGGCTTTTTGCTTTAGTACCATGATGATGCATAACTTGCTTTATTGATTGGAGTATAAAAATCCTCAGAGCAGGTCTTTTCTAGTCACAGAGTAGAGCATCTGAAAGTTCTCTTCCTGCTGCTTAGTGCAATAATTTTGAGAAGGTTTGTACATATGACAGCAAGAAGAGAGATACAGCAACTTAAAACAAATCACACTGATCTCAGCCATCTCAGCTAAAAATGTGAAAGTGCTGGGAGGGGGGAAGGTAGCTGGGGGGAATGACAAGATTTGAAAATGCACAAGAATAGCTGTATAGTTAAGAGGTAATGGTAAAGTGAAACAATTTTGAGGATTTTTTTTTATCATTATATTAAAAGCAGCTTTGAGTATCATTTGGGAAGGGGAGAAGAATAATTTAACTTCCATTGTAACAACGGGAAATTTTTATTGCATTGTGAATATGGGTTTGGTTTTTGTTGTTGATAAGTTTTGTGGTTTTTGTTTTGTTTTTCTGTCTGTTGCTAGGGTATGATTTTATTCAGAGAGAGGGGTGCATTCTTTTTTCTAATTAAGAAAGGTGGAGTGTGGTTGTACAATTTTAGCAGCAGCAAAATATCCTAAACTTGTATCCTAAACTGAAAATTCTTTGTCATGATTTTGTGTTTAAAAGAAATTTTGTAAAACTAGAAGATGGGATGGAGACCTCTGCTTAATAATATCTTTGGTTTTTATTTTCAGATTCTGGGAGTCTGGCTGACTTACAGATACAGGAACCAAAAGGATCCCCGTGCAAACCCTAGTGCATTTATTTGATAAGTTTATAAAGGACTAAATCTTCTCTCTGCACCCTCTACTTAAAAATACTGATTCTTCATAGTTGGTATTTCTCCATAAATAGGTATTCTACATGTACTCAAAATAAAACACAAGTCCTGTAAGAAATGTGTAGTTTTCATATTTAATTTCTGATGTTTTTCTTCTAAGAATCTCTATCTTAAAGTAGATGGGTGCATTCAGTAGCTGGGCAGAGTTGAACTGCTGTTTAAGTCTTTGTTAATTGTTATGGTAAACTCTATACAATGAGTTTTATAGCACTATTGGGTTATCTGCTGTAAAAAAAAAGCCCCTAGAGGTATTTTCTGCTGTATTCATTGATTACAAAAATTCACATGAATCCTCATTAAAATGATAAAAATTTATGGTGGATGGTTGGGTATGATTTACTTAGGTTTTAAGATGTACTCTAGTAAACCTTTTTGTTTCCCACTTTCCTGTTAAGGTAAAAATAGAAGCTAGAGATGTTATTTTTTCTGTAGTGCACATAAGTGTATGTTAATGACTACTGTAGTCTTCACCCCTCCCCCTTTTCCTGTTTGTTTTGTTTTTTTGTTAGCTTTAGAATTTTATTGAGAATAAAAACAATGTTAATGAATATTGTCATTATGAGAAAAATGAATGAAGAAAACCAGGAGAATGTAATCTGCATCTGATTAACTTGAAACTTTTGTCCCTTGACAAGTGAATGAGGTTTGGTATTTGCACAATCAATGTCTGTCATCTCTGATACAAGAAACTTGACGTCTGGAAAGCTGTTGTACAGCTATTTTTTTTAGATGGTGTAAAGTCATTGTTGTAATGACTCAGCAGTGTATATTTCTGTGTCATCCAGATAACAGTCTTGATTTCATGAGAGATTGAATGACATGTAAAAAAAAAAGGAAAGAAAAACAGCAAGAAAAAAAAAATGCTTTCTGGTAGTTTGTTTTCTGAAAACAAAGAATTCAAGTTAGAATCGTGTGTTATCCATGTAGAAAGTGTTGTCTGAGCTGAAGGAAAGGGTGGTCCCTCTTGCTGCCTGTGAAAGAAGTGGTGCATCAGCTGAAACAGTAGACATCTAAACACGCAAGGCACACAATGTCCCATTTGTTTCTAATCATACTGATTGCAGATCTGCACTGCACTTTTTCTTCATTCATTCTTCACTCAATTGCTGCTGCTGGCAGGGTAGGCATTTGCTGTAGTCTGAAAGACAAGTCTACAGGAAGAAAAGGGGAAGAGTATTAAAGGGCCTCTGCCAAGGAGGAATACAGCACCTGAGCCAGGTGGAATGGAAATCTGTAGGCAGACAGAAGTAGATTCTCATACAGTCACCCTTTACTAAAGAGATCCTTCCTTAATTTCCTCAGAGGAGGCAAAAAGAAGTTGAAACACATGCCCATCAAAGCACTTTCAGACTTTCACGAGCTGAGTGCTTCTGAAGAAGGAATTACATTGAAGTTTTGAAGGGAAAGAGCAGAAACTGAAAGCAGAGGGATGTCAAGAACTTGCTATAGAACTGCTTCTCTTCAGGTGTAGCTGAATCTTCAGCATCCATGGTCAGCACCTTCTCCTGGAGCTGCTCTGGGAGCTGCTGCTGTGCCTAGCCAGCAGCTGTGTCTGGCTCAGACATAGACCTGGAGATCCAGGGTAAGAGCTTACTTGTGTGCTGAAACACCATAAGAGCATTCAGGCCTGCTGAAGTCTAATAAAATGTACACAGGGGTTTTCTTCTCCCAGTTGCTGTTCTGTTGCCCTCAGTTTCTCTCCAGCCATTCTCAGTATGTCAAGACGACAGTGATGGTCTCATGGCTGCCTTTAGGAACAGTTCATTTTCCTGGTCTACACAGGCTTTGTGTTTTGTGCAGTACAATAATAAAGCCAAGGAGTTGTCATATGGAGAGGGTTAATGAAGCTTACAAGAATACCACATTGCTGCTTCAATTTTGACTTTTTTCATGATTGTTTTTGTAGTGCTTAATTTTGGGTGGATCTGGTTTCATAAATATGGTAGATTATAATGGAGTGTAAATGTGTAACAATGCAAAAATACTGAAAATATTACCACTTCTAAAACTCTCATGTCTCATAATGTGAATTTGTTTTAGTAGTCAGAAGATAGATCAGTGGATTGTATGGAATAATTAAAGTTTTTCTATTGTATTAAAAATACATTGTCTCTTTGGGCTTGTGGTTAAACAAACCCATCCACCCACACAAATGTTGAAATTCCCAATCAGAGTTGTGGATTTGCTTTCCAAACGTGATTCTGAAAGGGAACAGTAAAACACAATGAATCTGACTCTGTTTCTGGAAGGTGAAGAGTGTTGCCTCTCAGAGAAAGTCTGACTCATTTGAGTATCCAAGAAATGCTGTACTATTTGGATATGCCAAACTAGAGCACTTAAAAAGTTTATACCTATTCTTGGTGGATTTTGTCATTGAACTTCATTGGTTTCTCTTCTTGAAGAGCATTTTCATCACTCAAAGATTTTTTTGTTGTTTTCTAGAGATGCATTTTAATTTTCACCTGACTGCTTGAGATTTGGACTTTGTAACCAGATTTTCTAGAACCTATTTACAGCAGCGCAGTGTCAGAGTAATGGAGTGATTTAACTTGGAGCATTCTTACTGCTTACATTAAATGTCTTTTGGCTTTAGTTTGTTGAAATGCTTTCTTCAAGTTGGTTATTCTGGAAAAAATGTAGAAAGGTGTCTTCTTTCAAAACACATATGCATTTTTGTCATATAAAAACAATTGGCTATAAAGCATTGTGAGAAAGTGAATCCAGATATTGACTAACATCCTGATACCACTGCACAATATCTGCCACCTTTCACATGAAAATAACTATTACAAAAGGGAAGGCCTTTATCGTAGCTGTAAAGAAAGGGTTGATAATGAAAACTCCACATAGGCTGGTGCTGCTAGAAAATAATTTGAGATAAAGTAGGCTGAGTAATAGAGAGCTTAGCTAGCTGCTGAAACGAGATAAAAAAGCTGCTTTCCTTTGCTGGGTTTGGCTGAGTGAAGTTGATTCTCTTCATAGCAGTCTGGTGCTGTGCTTTGAATTTGCAGCTACAACAGTGCTGATAACACAAGGTTGTTTTATGTGATTGCTGACACAGAGTCGAGGTCTTTGCTGCTCGCTCACACTGCCCTGCCAAGCAAGCAGACCTTCTGCAGAAGTGAGACAGCTGACTCCAGCTGCATAAGGGGATACACCATGGGGGAAGAAGCAGGAAGGGGGGTACATTTGGAGTGATAGTGCTTGTCTTCCCAAGTCACCATTACTACATTTGGTGGGGCCCTGCTCTCCTGGAGGTGGCTGAACACCTGCCTGCCTTTGGGAAGCAGTGAATTCATCCTGTTTTGCTCTGCTTGTGCACACAGCTTTTGCTTTATCTATGAGACTGTCTTTATCTGAACCCATGAGTTTTCTTACTTTTAATCTTCTTTCCCATCTCACTGGAATGGAGTGAGAGAACAAGTAGCTGTATGGGGTTGCGCTGCTGGCTGGGATTGATCCACATCAGCCTTTTTCCTCCCAAAGTGCTTGAATGTAAAATGCAAGCTGTGGGCTCAAGCAACACAGTGATTTTACTATTTCTAATAATGGTAGATGAAGATGAGGGGAAAAAATTGAAAACACAGCAATGTTTTGTATGTAAACACTTGAAATGAATTTATTTTTTAAAAAATCATTTTTACAGTTGAATCATACAGTATTCTTCTGTACGCCTTAAAATAAAAGCCTCCAGCTTTTAAAAATGCTGCCCAGTACAAAAGTGCTAATGTAAAACTGTAGTGTTTATGTATTGAAACCATCACTACACATCACTAAATATCACTCTAAATAGTCTCTTCACCAGTATCAAGGTGCAGAGAAGAGATGGAAGATAAGACTGCATAATATTTAAGGCCTTTCTTCTTCCTCTTTACAGTTCAGTCTTCAGGAGCTTCAGTGCTTTCTGCATATTTGAGTACACTAGAAATGAAATATTAATTCATGTTATTTTTGCTGCAACGTCCTCTGCCAGCAACCAAAAATGCTTCAGAGAAAATGTCATTATTATTAAAGCCTTTAATCACATGCCTATTGCTATAGGGATTCAGATGCACTTAACTCTTCCACGCAATTTGTGAACATCATGGATTTAATTTTTACTGGTGAGAATCTTCATTAATGCCAACACATGGGCAGAGACTCGAGCTGTGGAGCAGTTAGGGATGGCTATAGCAAGCAGCTTTCCCTGCTCCCATAAGGTTTCCTGACCTGGCCTATTGGGACTTATATATACATGAGTTCTCACCGCTGCTTGCAGTGAGCGCTGCTGAATTATGCAAGTTCCTCCTGACGTATGCTTGCTTTTTAAACAGATAGATGCTTAAAGCTCCAGGGCTCTGCTGTAATTTTCTTCATCTCACTGAGTTTAAGTCTTGCATCCTGTTTCATTTTAATCCTGGTTAAATGTCTTTCAGCAAGTACTGATTGCGAGAATCTGTAATGCCTGGTGTTATTCCTTGTCACATGAAAAATGCAACTGCTTTCAGAATATTTCCAGGATGTGTCAGAACACTCTACTTACACAATGAAATGTCAGAGGGCTCATATGCATAGAGACGGTTTGAGTATCTTCCAGTAATATCTGCTCTCACAGTCAGGGAAGGATCTGCGAGAAAAAGGGTGAGAGAATTTTTAGAGGTTAATCTTCAAGCAGAAGGAAATAAAAGGAAATAAAGCTTTCGCACTCCTGCTTGCTTCCTAAATGTTTCAGTGAGGCATGTCTGCTTCTGCTGACTTAGAGATTGTTCTAAAAGGGGTCACTGATACTTCAGTTTTAAATGCTGTTTTTGCAAGTTTATTAGGACTGGGATGAGCTACCCATTCCAGTGACTGTGGCATCAGCCATTGAGGGAAGAATGCTGGACCTGTGAAGCTGGGTGGTCTTGAGTCAATATTTGATCCACAAAAACAACTTGAACCTTTGTATTTGTCGTGAAATAAATTCCTGTTAATCAGCCTGAGGATTTGAGATGCATGGTGCAGCAGTGGCTGTTCTGAGAGCAGCTTTGATGCTTGAGGTACTCACCTATGAACAAAACCCGAGGGACGTACTGGCCATCAGGTGCAAGGTTCTTGTCTGTGGTTTCATACTTAAAGAAAATAGAGAAGGTTCCTAGTCAAGGAGGGCATGTTACATACTTTTTCCCTTCACTGTACTTTGTATTATGAAATACAGCTCAAATAATACGTTTTGCAGTTTAAGAGATTGTGTCTAGAATGATGTTTTTTCATTTTTTAACAGCTGGAATTGCAAATTGCTAACAGTTCATGTTATTATTAAACGCCATATTCCCTCGAAGTCTGAGTTTATGATAGCTACAAATGAAAAATACTTACTATTAAATCTGTTATGCTTCAGCAATGGAGATTTTCCTAGCCAACCCTAACTATTAAACTCAAGTAGTTAGAGAAGCCATAATTAAAAGCAGAACTTTGTCACTTTCACTTAATTAAGTGTAATTAGGAAACTTACCACAAGGTTCAGGAGAATGAATTTTTCAGCCAGTTTCTGTATATCTTTGTGTTCAGCAAAGACCTTCTTGAGGGCTAAAGTAGAAACAAATAGGAAAGAAAATTAAAAAGGTGCCCTTGATATTGTCCTCCAACAAGAAATTCAAACAAACTGATGAAACAGAAAGAGATTTTCCAGTTTACAACTGCAGCAAAGATTTTCAGTTCATTCCATTGGAACATGATCTTTTCGATTTTATTCTGCATTAAAGAGTAGTTACGGTAGTGCAAAATGTCCCACCTTCCTTTGGAGAGTACAGCTGGCTTTCAAATTCTCTGCTTAAGTTTGAATTTGAGCATTTGACCCTTCAAACTTCCTGTTCTACTATTGTGATTTCTGGCCCCAGATCTTAAGGCACTTGAAAATACAGCATGTAGGGCTTCAGACTAAAATCTTTGGAAGGGTGTAAATGCTTTTGTAAATGCTTTGTACAATGACCCTTCTGCAGTTACTGGAGCTATGGATGGATTCAAAGATCTTGCCATGTGGACTGACTTGCAGGAAGGAGAGCGCTCAGATAAATTCAAAGATGCTGGGAAAAGAGCAGTGCAGTTACCAGAAATCCTGGAAGAGCTCAGTTTCAGCCTGGATTGATTTAGTTCCTGGCTAGATTCAGTCTGAATCACTGATGATGTGGTCTGAATATGGTCTTTGTGACAAATTGTTATTTCTTGCTACTGGTCTTGCTATTGATTTTGGCTGATTGTGCTGTGAACCAAATTCAGATTTGTCAGACCCTACTGACCTGTGCTCATTTCCGTATCCATTTGGCATCATAATACAGAATTAGCATTTTCATTTTATTTCTACACATTGGAAAACACCTGCATGGTACAGCAACTTGAAGAACTCTCCCTATGCTTGTGCAAGCTGGTATTTCACTAAGGTTTAAGCAAAACGGTGGCTTCTTTGTTTTTTTTTAAGCAGAGTTTTTCCAGTAAATTAAAACATCTATTTTTTTTCTCCTCCCGAGTGCAAAAAGGTTACCTTGGCTGTGTGGGCAGTCTTCCAAGTGGTGGATAATCATCAGGGGTTTCTGGCTGGAAAAGAAGGGCCCTGGTTAGGAGCGGGGCGGCGCGGGGTGAGGGTGGGCGCGGCGGGGCGGGTACCTGTGCTTGGCCCGGAAAAGCGCCTCCTCGTAGGTCTGCGTCCAGATGAGCTGGTCTCCCCAGCCTGCGGGAGGGAAGGGACACACACACACCCCCTCAGACAGCGCCCGACGAGCGGCGCCGGGGAGCGGGTCCTGCCCTGCCCGCCCCGCCGGGAGCGGGTCCTGCCCTGCCCGCCCCGCCGGGAGCGCTGGGAACAAACCCCTGCCGGAGGGCTCTACATCGGGAGCGAAGGAGGACAGGCTGCTGGGAAACACTAGATAAGGTTTTGCAGAACGAGTTGCAAGAAAATGAACATAGTTCTAAAAACGAGCTATGAAGTGAAATGTTCACAAGATTGCACTTTAAAAAAAAAAAAAATATCAGTTGTTTGTTTTTTACCTCTGGAGAGTGTCTGAGGCAGTTTTGGCTTAGCAGGAGTGTCCTTTGAATCCTTCTTGCCTGCATCCTTTGCCAGAGCGCAGGAGATGACAACGAGCAGCAAGAACACGGCCACGTAGCTCTTGTCCATGGCTGCTCCTGGGCAGGAGGGAGAAGCTCGGGGTGACCGCGGTGCCTCCCGGCGGCGCTGGCGGCAGGCGCGGGCAGCGGCGCCGCGGCTGCGAGGAGCGGCTCCGGGCAGCGCCCGCGGCCGCGGCGTGAGGCTTGCTCAAAAACGCCCAGAAGGATGGGGCTATGGCCCTTGTAGGACGTGCGTGCTGTGCTTGTTCATTGCCCTCTCTTCTTTTGACTTATATGGAACATGCTCAGTAAAATAACTTGAGTTACAGCAATTCCAAAAGTTCTTGCAAGTCCTAATAAGTTCACAGTTCTACCTTGATCTCCCAGTGCTAGAGTAACGCAGGTGCTGAAAAGTTAATTTGTCTCAGCTCTTCCCTCCATTTTGATGTAGGAGCAACTCAAATGAGAAATCAGAATGTTTAAGCTGGGCTTTACAGTGAACATGAGCATAGACACACTTAATTGGTGTTGTTGAAGCTTCCAATCCTGTTTTTTTTCCCTTAAAAATCTCACCTAATCCTTAAACCCAGCAGAACAGATAACAAAAAGAGTGGCAGGAGTTGATGTGTGGCCCAGTGAAAACTGAAATGGAGTTTGGGGCTGGAAGCAGCACAAAGCAGAGAGCTTTTCCTGGGCCAGGCTGGGGCTTGGAGATAAGATAGGTCTGATGGAAAGCTCACCAGCATTTCAGCTGAAGGGGAAAATAATTTCAGCAACATGACCCTATGCTTTCTCATTGCATTTCCTTCTAGAAACTAGAACCAATATAGCGGGTACAAAAAGAAAATTTAAGATGTTCTAAAAGCACTAGAGACCATTGAAAAGATTCATTAAAAAAAGAAAAAAGAAAAACCAAGCATACAAAACAACCCCCACCACAAACGGCTGACAGTTTTTAAAGTTCTGACAATGAAAACTAAACTCCAGGAAAACAGAAGTGTTTTTCCAGGTAGGAACTGCAGGAGGAGACATAAGCTGAGTTTCCATGAGTGATACAATGCTCTTTGCTACTGGGATGTCCATAGAGCTCAAATATCCAAAGAGTCCCTTTTTCAAGGGTATGAAATACAACTTTTGCAGCACATTGCATTTCTTCCCCAAGAAAAGTTTCTTTGGCAAGGAAGAAAATTGCATGAAGTTCAATTAAACTCTGGATTGTCAGGGTTGCCTCAAGAATTGTATTGGCTAGAGCGTTATGGCAGAAGTCATACTTCTTTAAAAAGAAAAAAAATTAAAAGTAGGGGACAACCTGTAAATTGAAGATCAGGCTGTTGTGGAGGCAGCATGCAAAAAGCAAAGACAGAGGAACTTAAACTTGCTCCTTAAAAACTGCCTCTGGAAAACAATGTGCACTTTTGAAAAGCTTTCCAAAATAACCCCTCTTCTCCTGGCTTTTATTTTATTTTTTTTTTAACCTGCAAAGCCAATATTTCTATATTTTCCTTCACAACAAGCTGTGCTGGACTGTGCCTGCTTTGCTGCAGCCTTTTCTTTCCATTGCTCAGGTTTCCCATCCCCAGCTAGCTCGGGCTCACAGCTCCCCTGGGCTCCTGCTGAAGCAGGGACTGTGCAGTGCCTTACCTTGTTTACTCTCCCAGGTGCCTGCCAGGATGTGAAGGTGTTCCTGGTTCCAGTGTGAATGCCGCTGTTCCTACTGCCTATTTATGCACCTTTACACCCCAACTCCACCCACAAGCTTTGAATTTGAATACTACTTTCAAAGAGCTAAACTTTCTCGTTTTTCCCCTACCAAAAACGTTCAGAGTTAATTTTGTAATTAAATAACATTACCATTTCCTGTCAGATACTGTATCTAAAGCTTAGAGACATTTCTGTAGACTTGTGGGATATTTCTTGAAAGGTGATTTTAAAAGATTGGCCAAGATCCAAGTACAGGTAAGCTTAAGTCAAGACTCCTGATTTGCCTGAAGACTGATTTGTCTTTTTTTGATTGGTTGGATAATCAGTATGGGTTACTGTTCTTTCAGTCCTTAGGAAAAGTTATATTGGTGACTCAGAACTGTGGATGTTAATTAGATAAATTACTATGCACATTATACAGATATGTGTGCACACATGCACATATAACAGCACACAGAATTATAATCAAGCCTAAAAAAAGTTTGTAAAATGTATTTGGAAGCTATACTAAAAAACTGTGTTCATAAGCAGAGATCCAAGCCAACATTTTATTTAAATTCCACAATTAATTAGTTGTGTAGACATTTATTTTTAACTAAAACATAAACCCAAATCATCTTAGGTTTCAGATGCACATATATTACAGTGCAATGCTCAGGAAAGTGAGACCTGGATGGTCATTCCCGCTGCTGCACTGGCTGCACACAGTCCTTCTGCAGAGGTCAGTGCAAGTCTCTCCTCAGCAATGGATGCTGAAACTACAGAATGTTCTCCTTGCTGCATGCTTCATGTATTTCAGTGAGATTAAAATCATGTGTTCATGGGCAGTGGATGCTTGACATTTCTTAGCTGGGTAGATGAAATCCATCAGATATGCATTTTCCTGTTTGAAATTCACAGTGCTGTCTGATGGCTGCTAAAAGCACCCATTTGTTACTAATATGCTTGAGAGAATTAAGAGCTTTGAATCTTAGTGTGGATTTGGTTTGTTTTTGTTTTGTTTTGTTTTGTTTTGTTTTTAATGTATAGTAATTAGGAAATCAAAGTGCAGAAACAAGATGGTGAACTCAAGGAAAAAAAATTATTGAGTTTTACCATACTTTGCTTAGCTGCTTGATGTTTTAGGAGGGTGAAACCAAAGCTCCCAGGCATATCAGTCATTTTAACTGCCCTTTCTGTATGTTTCATGAAATAAGTATGTTTTCCTGAGAGAATCTGCATATAAATTTCTTCTTCTCCTCCAGCACTTGTCCCTGAAGATTTACAAATGTAATTTTTTTGCTCCTATATTGTGTATCCAAATTACATCCATTCAGCTTTTCTTCCAAAACATACACCAAAAGAAGTCTCCAATGTCCATATTTGGACATGGGACCACTCACTTTGGACAACTTAGGTTACATTCTAAATCCAGATTAGTGCAGATGTAGAAGTCAACCTTGGGTATCCATTTTGGTCTCAGCTTAGACAATTCAGAATTGTAATTTAACACACTCTTGCTGACTCTCTTCTCAGGTCACACATAAGGGCATTTGGTAGTTTTAAAGCCTGTAAAAGAAGTTCTAATTGCTCTCTAGTACTGTGAAGAGATTATAAGCAGGTGGGTTTTCACTCACACCTTATAAAAAAAATTGGATTTTGTCTAAAAATGTATCCACAAAGCTAAGCCAGCACCTGCTCCTGGCACCAGCCTTAGATGTATCTCCATTTCATTTGCACCTTTGCTTTCTCCTGTTTTCAGGGGATGCATTTATCTTAGCCTGTTTCCACATAGCCTTGTTCTACTCTGACAGAACTCTTTCCTGTAGGAGTCCCAGTAATTCAAGTACAGCTACTCACAGGGGCTTCCCTGCCAGCTCAAACCCAGTGACCTCGATGCAGATAGTCAGACTTGTTTCCAAACCAGCTTTGTGCCTTGTCAATGAAGAGAGAGGGGAGCTCAGATTTTCCCACAGCTCCCTGCTAGGGCCCTGGGACTGAGCAGTACCCAGCTGCCAAGTTTTCCTCTGGCCTTTTATAATGGCTACTTTCTCTGCCTCAGTGACTAAATCCTGCAGGAACTGCCACAGAGAGCTTCAAACCAAATAGGATTATTCTAGAAAGTTTTTCCTCTTTTTCTATAAAGATCTGGTAGACCCTATTACTGTTAATATTTAACATTGTTACAACACTAGTAATCAGATTTTTAATATATTTTTGGCTCCCCTTCTCTGAGGTCCTTTTGTTCATTATGTTATACAGAAATTTGCACAGCTTCAGGTGGCTGATGTTACATCTGTTCTGAAGGCATTCTCTGATGTGCTTTGTTTTTGCTTGTATTTTATAATACATAAGTTTTAGAATTTGGGCATTTCTCTTAATTTCATAATAAACATGTTTCCAAGTCTTACGATCTACTGCTTAGAATAAATATCAGAAATTTACATGGGAGGAAATGAAGGAGATGTGTAGTCTGTCCCAGACTAGCAATGCTCTGAGTCAAAGCCATAGACAGACAGATCTGGAAATCATCAGTCTTCCAGTGCTCTTAAAGTTGTAGTATATTGTAAGATATAGTGGTTGAAAGAAAACAAAATTTATTTGAGAACTGGTAAATTTTCTGTTGTCAGTGCTTTAGCCACATACAGGTTTTTTATTACCTGAAAGCTCTTGGGATGAAATTTGACTAAAATTTTCCAAAAAACCTTATACCCCAAAATTTAGGAGATGATACACCCTCTTACACTTATGAGAGATGCAGGTTCCATTTTGTTTCCTTCTTGCCCTGAAATAGTTCAATTCCTTTTCATGGCTATTATAGGTAGGTGCTGTCTGGATTGGGATGCCCCTGGTCACACATGCCAAGACTGTTTATTTGTGTAATTTGCATTTGTGCTAGAGCAGGCACTGAATCCCAGTGTGATTTTTCTCACATAGGCTCAGGACATATTTGCTAACACTTGAAAATGGAAAGCAGTACTAAAGGAGAAGCTGATGTCTTAGAAGTGGTCCAGACATTCCCTTGAGAGTTGGAAGGCCATGGTTCAACCATCCCCTGTCTACTTTATTTTCATTACAAAGCTACATTTCAATCTATGGCTGGAAACACAAAAGTTCAGCAGATTTCTATTGCTGAACATTTAAAGCTGGTAACTGGAGCTCAGGTAGATTTTTGCTAGGAATGTGATGTTTTGTCCTGAAGGATGATGGTTTTCCAAAATACATCAGCCCAACATTTTCCTCTTTTTAGTTGAATAAATTACTCAATTAGCTTGCACTACCTACAATTTATTGGTAATATTTTTCAAATTGGCTAGTGGAAGATATGCTAAGGATTTAAAATAAAATAATCTGACTGTTTAATTACTGTTTGCAAAAATAAAGAGCAATCTGTGAGGATTTTGTTATCTCTGGAGGCATTTCTTTCCACTTACATGTGGGTGTTTATAACACAAATCACCAGCACTTGATACAGGCTGTCATGAAAAGCATGGAGCATCCCTTACATAGTTTTAGACAAAGATGTGGATTTGCCATGCAGCCAGTTCTTATCCCATACTTTGTTTTGAGTCTTGATGTGATGTCTGGAAGGCATTGCTGAATGACACATTTTAAAATCACTAAGTCATTTGAAGACCCATATTAAATGTACTTACTCCTGTATTGTTTAATGCCCTTTTCACAACAATAAGGAAACTGTCATGGTCTATTACACCAAAGAGTTTCAAGGTTTTCAGCATATGGTGGAACTTAATTGCTCAGTTGTGTTTGATAAGAGAAAGCCTGATCCTGGTGGGATTTAGACTTAACTTTGAAATATTTTTTCCCACAGGAAGCAGTGAATGACGGGAGAGGAATTCTGTGATGAGAGGGATTGGAAAGCTGGGGTTGTAGCACAGCCTGAGAAGACATCTGGTCATCTTAACTGGGTAAGTCAGTTACAATCAGCAATGCTTCATGTCTGTAATTTTTATACTGAAGTAAGTGCATTTTAATAAATTAAAATAACTAGCTCTGTCTAAAACCAGAAGATTTGCTGTACTGCAAAATTAAAGCAAATGACTCCTTCCCTGAGTAACTGATACCAAATTTTCAGTATCAATTGAAATCTGTGAGCCAGCAGTTTTCCATTTTGTTATACTGTAATATTTGATAGTGGCGGGGAAAAATTTATGTTTCAAACAATTTATTTTTGTATTTAGTATCAGATGGACATTTTTTAACTAGCCCCTTTCTATCAATTAAGCCCCATTCTGTTTCTGGCCTGCCTTGGTCCTTGGATGCTAAACTCTATTACAGGCCAGTAACTGAGCCACAATGTTCATAATTCAGCCAGTCTCCCAGAGCTGGCACCTTGCTGTGATCCCTCTGTAGCCTCTTTTGTATTCATTGTTCTTATTTCAAATTTATGTCTGTTTATCTGTAGCCCAGATCCTCTTAGTTTTCCTAATGCTTTGCCTCAAAGATCAGAAACCTTTGGCTTCTAGTGAGTATCAGTGACATGATGTCCCAGATCTGACTCCAGAATTCATGGTCCTTAAGTAATAATGGATGGGACTCTCTTTATTCTCTTTATTCTTGCTAACTTACCTGAAAGTTTGAAAAGATAAAGATGAAGGATTCCATCCTGTTTTTTTTTTTTCAATGAGCAGTAAACACATGTCAGTGAAATTCCAGCTGAAACCACTGACACAACTGCTGTCTTAGCCCCACTGTTGTTTGTGTGCTAATGTCGTTTTTTTAACATTGCTTTTGCTTTGGGGCCTATATCCCAATCAGCATGACCTCTGTAATGAAATGCATGCATTTGTTCTGCTGAGTTTCTCTCTTTCCTGGTAGTGTTTGTCTTTTTCTCCAAGCTATGCAGACCTCCATGGTGTTGACACTCTCAGGCCTGCATGATGTGCTCCATAGAACCCTTCATCTTCTCCCAAGTTATTGACGTTGCCTTGGCTTGTGTATTCATCACAGAATGTGCAGTTTTAGTCAGCCACACAGACTGCACAGTTTTAGTAGACTCCAGATCTGAGTCCTTTCTGCAGCAGCTCTTGCAGCTGCCATGTCTTAGGTGTTCCACCACATCCTCACTGTGCCCATGCCATGGTGCCATTTTTCTCTCTCTATTGCTTGGGCAGTTCTAGTTGCCTTGTCAAGATTAAATCTGAGATTTAGCAGTCTCATTTCTGAGCTGGATTTTCTAGATCCTGAATATTATATTTTTATATGTGTCTCAGCCACAAAGTTGTAAAACTAACTCTCCAGATGTAGACCAGGTATAAGAAGGTGAAGTTTTCACCTTTTTATTTTACTTTTTAAAATTTTCCCCTGTGCTTTTTTTTTTTTTTTTTTTTTTTTTTTTATTTTAACACTCAGTAGAGGTGACAAACCTGGGATGTTCCTGGAGGCAGTACAGTACTTACATTTGCCCAGAGAAGTGGTGGAATAACTCTTCTGTCAGGTTTCAAAGAGTTGTTCAACAAACTTGTTGTTTGATTATTAATGCCATTATTCAGTGGTNTTTTTTTGTGGGGGAAGTGTGGGGATTGTTTTCTCATGTTTATGAGGAGAATAGTTTACCACAAGTCACCCAGAGAAGTGGTGGAATAACTCTTCTGTCAGGTTTCAAAGAGTTGTTCAACAAACTTGTTGTTTGATTATTAATGCCATTATTCAGTGGTTATGCTTAGGGATGGGTTTGGAAAGAATACTTTTATCCTGCCTGACCTTCAACTGTTTGTAAGATGAACTTTGAAAAAACACAGCACTCAGTTCCAGCTGCTTCATGCTGTGAGGTGCTTCCTAATGCAGAATGTTGAACATACTTCTGAAATCTGCTCACTTACAATCCTTGTCTTCAAATATTGACATAATTTAATTATTTTTGTTATAGAGCATTCTAATGATGTGTTGCAGACCACTGTGTTACCAGCAGGACAAAGAAAGTGAGGGCACATCCAAAGTGCTGGGTCCAGTTTTGGCTCCCCAGTAAAGGAGATATGCATTTACTGTAACAAGTCCATCAAAAGGGTTCCAAGATGGTAAAAAGATGGAACATCTGTCATTTGAGGAGGGGCTGAGAGAGCTAGGACTCTTCAGCTGCAGAAGAGATGGCTCTGGGGGATCTCATCTGTTTATATCTATATCTGATTGTCGCGACCTCCTTGTCAAGAGGAAAGCAACAGAGATGATCAGAAGGCTAGACTATGTCTTCAAGAGAATAATTTGGGCTTTTAGCCTGTAGAAAGCTCTGGGGAGACCTTACAGCATCTGCCAGTAGCTAAAGGGGGACTACAAAAAAGCTGGAGAGGGACTCTTTCAAGAGCATGTAGGAATAGGACAAGGGGCAATGGCTTTAAACAGAATAAGAGTAGATTCAGATTAGATATTAGAAAGAAATCCTTTAAAAGAGTGGTAAAGCTATGGGACATGTTGTCCAGAGAAGCTGTAGATGTCTCATCCCTGGAAGTGTTCAAGGCCAGGTAGGATGGGGCTTTAAGCAGCCTGGTGTAGTTTGAAGGTGTCCCTGCCCACATAAGGAGGGTTGGAACTAGAAAGTTTTTAAGGTCACTTCCAACCCAAACTATTTTATGATTCTTTGACTCTAAGTAAAGGAGGAAAAGCCAGACTCTTCTCTGACATCAAGTGACAGGATGAAAGTCAATTGAAATTTAGGAAATTACATGTGAATATAAAGTAGATTTTTTTTTCTTTTTGTAATGTGAGGATGATTGAAGACTGGAACAGGCTGTCCAGAAAAGTTGTGGAATCCCCATCCTTGGACACATTCAAAATTCCCCTGAGCAACCTGCAATAGGTGACCCTGCTTTAAGGAGGGGACTTGGACAAGACAGTCTCTAGAGGTGCCTGCCAAATTCAACAATTCTGTTATTTGGTGAATCTACATATGTAGTATATACAAAAGAAAGGTTAAATGGTACAAAGGTGAACTTATAACTGAACCCACATATATCCTACTCTCAGTTATGCCTGATCTGTTGCCCAAAATAAGCTAAATTAATGGAAAAATGCCATACTATGGTCACAGGTTAGAATATTATTGCTGGAACAGTAATGGTTATTAACTTTTACCCCTGAGGTGCTCATTTCACCACATGTGAACACTGTACAAATACAGTTGTAATGTCCCTTTCAGGATTGCTAGCTGACTCTTCAAGCCAATTGGAGTGACTTTAGGCAACGTGTACTTAAATTTTTGTTTAAACATCATGGTCTGGAAATGGTAAGCACACCCCCGCAGGTGGTGACACTAAACAAGCAGTATCAGTCACAGGGAGCTGATAGAGGATGGGTGTTCCCATTCTCCTGCTGGCACAGCTCCAGCTGATGGTTTGATGATAACGTGGCTCTATCTTGGCATTCAAATGCAAAATGCTAATTTTAAATTGCTCTTTTTAATTTTTTTTTTGGGAGGCATAAGCAATGCTATCCCAAATCTTGTGAAATACTTAGTGGTCAAAAGGCTGATGTATGTTGCAGCAATGCTTGGTGCAGAGGCACAGGAGCTGGGACAGAGCAGCCATCTCTCATTTGCCTTCTGTCTTCACAAGGTCATTCCAGCAGCTGACAGTGACTGAAATAGAAGCAAGCTTAAGCAGTGTGGTCTTTTTGCATCCAGCTGTTCCCTGTATCTAGCTGTATCACTTGGAGATTGCCTAGAAGGCAGGGAATTCCCATGTAGTCAAGTCAAAGGTAGTCTAATCTCCGTGTGCCAAAAAAATTGTGTGGAAAAAGATGGAGATGTGAATGTGACCTGAAAGCAGATCACTACATGAGGAGCCATACATAAATAAAAATGCATATATTAAAGCTCCTGTGTCAATTATCTGTTAGGAGCCATTTCTGCTTTTAACATGTCTGAATGAAAAGGAAAAACAACGCGCAATTTCTTGGTTTGTAATTTCTTGTTGTAGCTATCCTGCTGTAGCTAGCTAGGTTTTCAAAGCTGAATGCATTGACTCATTACAAATACCAGCAGGATGGGATTTCAGTTCCTACCCTCCTATTTCATATCATGCAGCTGCTGGAGCTTCGGAGCAAACAGGCAGCTGGTGGAGAGCTGCCTGCAACCAGCAGCCTCCTACATTCTGCAGGTGTTGCTGGGCAGAAGTAACTGGGGACCATCTGGTAGCACCCACTCCTTTCTGGAATGAGTGGAGGGAATACAAATCAGCAGCACAGAAAGAATGGAATGAAGAAAGAATGTCTTTGCTTGGCTATTGTGGAGCTCTGCTGTTTGCTGCTTTGGTGGGTGGGGTAGAAGGGCTGAATCCAAGTTGCTAGTTCAGGGCGCAGTGCTGATCCTCCCAGTGATCCTAAGTTTTAAATGTCAAATATCTTATCAAAAAGTTGAAAAGCAGCTGAAGGTAGTGGATGTCAGTCATGTAGATGATGTCAGTTATTTGGAGAGAAGCAATTATTCAGTGCTATATTCAGGTGGCTGCAACCTGCCAAAAGACCACAGGCAAGGGAGTCAGTAATTATTGCTATTATATTAGCTACAGGTTTGTATGGCAGGCACTACTTCAACCTGGTTCATATGAGGATTGAATAATAAACTGTAATCAACTTATAAGCTCTACTATCTGTTCTAGCTCCCTGTACTTTCTAACTAAAGACCCTAAAAAGCTGAAAATTATTTGCAGTTTTGGATGAGCTTCATGTGGACACTTGGATATTGCAAATGTCACATTGTGTGTGTGTGTGCAGAGCTGTTCTCTATGGTTAGGAGCTGAGACCTTTAGCATGATCTCCTATAAAATATTTTTTTTTTTGGTCATCTTTTAGAAGAAAAATAATCTATCAGATTGTGGGTTCAGTTAAGGATGCCTTCATAGTTTTGAGAGGTGTTCCTTATTTCTTCTTTCTATTGACCAATAAGACTGTCACACCTGTATTTCCTTGCCAACTT